ACCTCAGATATTTCACACCAGCGTCAGCACTGTGCAAAAAGCTGTTGTGACAGCTTGGCTATTGGGGGGCCGCGTTGGATGGAGGATGCCCGGCTGCGTACGAATGCCAAATGCGCGCGGGGGTGACGGCTTTGACAGAAAAAAAAAAAAAAAAAAAACCCTCCGCCTCGGAACAATTAGGTGCTTCTCGGGGCCCCCGTCCCGTGTTGCCGGCGATAATGGAAAGCTGTGAGGATAACTGGTGATAAATAGACTTTAACACCCTCCTCCTTAAAAGCAATGCAGGCCTGCCGTCCTCTCATATGCTTAGCTAATCATGACCATGGCCGGCAAATTCGTACAAAAGACTAATTACTGTTGTACTTCACTTGAGTCTCAAAAGGCCTCTTATATAAGGACTCGGGAGTTCTCCTGCTTCTTTTCTCCTCTTGATGGGTATTTTTTTGAACAAGGAGGGCCTGGCGCGAGACAAAAGCGTTTAAAAATCGCTGATTGCTTTCATCCTCTTTAATTACGTTCAGAAATGGCATTTCTGCCACATAATACACCCCTATTGTTTCAGAATTATCTGGCCGGGGGAGGAAAATCTACAATATTTGACGACGCCGCCGCCGAGCTAAATCGCCTCTTGAAATTGAAAGATGCTCTCGAAAAGCCAAAATAAAAAGCCAGCCCGCGCCGCTGATATACCGGAGGCTGCTTGGCATTCTGCGGAACGCCATTATTATGCATATCCAGGTAGAAAGTTAATTAACCCAAAGCTTAAGCTAATTATGGTAGCAGAATGCTATCAACCGAGCGCTTTCAGTCAGACAGCTGTCCGGAATTTCATTTGCTAATCATTTGTCTTTTGCCAGAGCATATGGTACATTTCCCCGCTATCACAGCAACAACAAACAGATGAAAATCATTAACTAAAAACAATGAGCGATGTGAAAAATCAGACGCAGGGGGTGGGGTGGAGGGGGTGGTGTGAAAAGGAGGATTTGCGGCCTGGGAAAGCACAAAGATCATTTTTTTGGTTGGAGCCACTCAGGATTTTAGGCAGATCATGTGACCCCGAGCGTGCTGGGAATTCAGATGCGCAAATACATTGTTGATATCTATATGCAAATGAGGCCCAATGTTTATCCATGTTAAATTAATTACAGTTTTATATAGGCGCTTGTTCCGAACACTTTTTAGCTCCTAGCACCACTTTTCTTTTTTTGGTTGTTTTTTTTTTTTGTTAACGCTGTTAAAAGAAATCCCTGAGCTCGGAATTAAATCAATTATTTTGCGAGAAATGTTTCATGCATTCTTCCCCCC